AAAACCATCTTGCATGCTGTGTGTGTGTGTCCAGTTTGGCTTTGCGGCTTCATCTCGGAAGTGGCTCTGTGCTCTGGCCCTCCCTGATGCAGTGCAGGGCACGTCACCACGGACATCTGCCCTGGCTCCAGCCTAGGCTTCAGGCTCCACCTGTGATGAGCACTGTCCCCTTGGCAGGCGCCCCAGCAGTAGCTGTCTGACTCAGGCTGCTGTGCTCCTCCCGGAGAACCCTCAAAGAGCATTGAGTGTGTGGCTGGGTGAGAGTAACGAGAGGAGTCCACTGGGTACAGGGACCTGGTGTCCAGGAACTCACAGCCAAGCAGAGCCCGGGGAAGGAGGGGGCTTTGCGGTAGAGTTTTGATGGTGTCCAGCTTATTACCAGATGCAGAGGGCCTGTGTCACGTGTCTGTGCTGCCTGTGGGCTTGGGGGTCAGTGGGTGATCCAAGTACAGTGTGCGACCTGTCCCACAGAGAGGAGGACACCAGGAGTGTTGGGCAGGTAGCTAAATGTGGTGGCAGGGCCCAAAACAGCAGGCAGTGAGTTACATCAACAGAGATGCCACCGACATGCTGTCACGCATCTATGGTCACTGGTTAGGGCTCCAAGCAGAGCAGCCCACAGAGCACAGCGGCATTTAAAGGTCACGCATTTTGCACCCAGCACCCCGGCTGCGGGGTGCACAGCCCCATGAGATCAGGAAGGGGGAGATTATTAAAGACTCTGCGTGTCAAATCCGGTTTAAATGAAGAGTTGGTCTTGTTATTTCCTTATAGGATGGAAGCCTCCAAGGACACACAGACCATCTGAGAGGATCAGCAGGCACCAGGCACCGTGCAACTCCAAACAGCTTATATGTGAAAGGTTTGTTTGCACCATCATTACCCTGGTCACCCGAACCGCAGCAGCAGCCCCTAGGAGCATAAAAGGCATCAGACTTGTGTTCCAGCCAGATGCCTAGGTGGCACTGCCCACCTTGCTTGAGGACACAAACCTCTTGGTATCCGCTTCAAAGTGAGTACTCCCTGGTGTCTGCACAGCCTAAGTATCTTCTAAAGTCTAAAGTCCCTTCTAAAGTCCCTTCATCAAGGGCACCAAGAACCAAGACCAAGGAAGTGAGGGGCTGGTTCCTGGCTGCAGCAGGAGGGGCTTTGGCTGCAGGAATGGTTAGTTGGGCCTGTCACAATGATGAACTGAGGGCAGATGGACACCAGAAACCACCAGAGCTGACCATACCCCGCTTTTGTGTGGCAAAGCCCAACTTGAATCAAAATAGACACCAAGGAAGCATGAAATCAGAGAAAGCTACTGTACTGTGTGTGTGTGCCTGTGATAGCACTCAGCCTTTATACACTCTCTGGATAAACCCTTTCGGAGCCCAGGGTCCACTTCATTCTAAAGAAGTGAACTGCTAAAAAAAAAAAAAGGTCCATAAAATATGCAGTGGGTATAATTTAAATGGAAACAAAATTAGAAATGTATGATTTGGATCAGAACACATTTTGGTTGAAAGCGTTCAACTTTATGAAGGCACTTAAAAGTAGGTTTTGCTTTATAGTATTATTTACCAAATCAACATTCAACATATTCTTTTCCAAAGGAAACAAAGGCAAATGGGGTTACTGTGAAAATCAAGAGTAGATAAAATGAAATGAATAATTCCTTTATTTTACAAAAATTCCTTAGCGCCTTGACCAGAAGCTAAGATTACATATGGCAAAAATATCAGAGCTGGCATTAACAGCGTAATTTCCAGCCACAGCATAAAATTACCAATTTCCATGTGGCTGCAAAATTTCACACCATCCCATGTTCCGTAGATATTTATCTTTATTAAAGATATTTATTGCCACACTTTTCAGTTTATTAAGTTGGAAATGTATGAGAAAGTCTTAGAGCCTAGATTTTGCACTCAAATAAATGTGAATAAATACTATTCTTTGTTACCTTGATGCCATTCTCAAAATAATGTAAAGATGCATGAGGATTTAGTTTTTCTTAGGAGATTTCATCTTGATTATAATAGCTTTATTATGAAGGAGTCACTTTAATGAACTCCATCATTAATCTAATTCAATCATTGAAAAATATTTGGGGGAGTACCAGGAATCAGACTCAGGACCCTGGGCTTACCAGTCAGGTGCTGTGCCGCTGAACTGTATCCCCATCTCTCATCAAAGGTTTCTCTCATCAAAGGTTTCTAGACCTGTGTTCCTAACTTTCCCCATGAGAATGCTTGCTACCTGAGGCACAGGGCATATGACTTGACCTTAGGGGTTTTTGTGCTGTCTCTTAATCAGTCTGGGAATCTTTTTTCTGCCCAGTGCCTTCATTCCTGGCAATGCTGGCTTAGAGTAAATAATCCACAGAGGACCCCAGGGATCTCCGGGATTTATGGGAGGGAAGATGGGTGTAAAATTCTCCTAGTGCTGTAAGGTGTCCTAACAGTGCAGGGATGGAACACAGATTCCTTCTGCTAAAGAATGAGCCAGGAAATTGAATATAAAAATTCAGATATAATTTTCCAAATAAAGGTGAGGGGATAATTCATGTCAGGACATGAAAATGCTTAAAAGGATGGAATATGGGAAACTTATAGACCTTTCTAGCTTGTGACACAGCTAAGATAGTTTTGATGATTTTGTACCTCAGTCATGGACCAATGAAATACTTGAAAGATGGATTTATGAAGTAACCAAACCTTAAAGAAGTGACAGTAGTTGGCATGATTAAACAGAAATGTCGATATGCTGTCCTTCGGTACCTAGCAGAGGCAGCAGGTCTCCAAGGATTAACTGCTGGGCCCCGTGGTGCTAGGTCTTCAGCTCGGAAACTGTGGTTGTGGAGTCCTTGAGAGATGGTGAGTGTGTTTTTTGTTGTTGTTGTTTTGTTTTTTTGCAGGGGGAGGGTTTGTTTCTAACCTCATGTGTCACATGTGAGCCTGTACCATTGTAATGAAAGCAAGGCTGGTCTCGTCTATTTATGGACTAGCATGTAAAAATAATTCAGGGCTCCATATGAGTATGAGTTTCTCAGTGTCTAATTTATATTCAGAGGAAAGATTGAAGTGTGTGGTTCATGGCTTCTTTGGTTGTTTGTTTCTCTTCATCTTCCAAGCTAAATCTCTCTTTATTCCTGCTCACCTCCATCTACCACATGATTCTGCAGGTTCCGATTTGTAAGAACACCTAGAATTCACTGGTCTGGGGCTCAGAGAATGGTACCCCAAAGTCTGGTGTATGGCATGCTAAGCTCAATCGTGTTGTTGAAGGACAGAGATGTCCCCTTGGCAATCTGTCCTTGTATGAATACCACAGAACAGCGGGATTATGTAAGCTCAGCTGCTGTCACATCTCTAGGCCGGGGAGTCTCAGGGGAGAGCCGTCGTGTACGAGGTCCCTTGTAACTGAAGCATTGCTATGCAGTATGTAACCTTGCAACTAAGGGATGTTGGGTAGACCTAGAAGCAGGATCTCCGTTATTTTTTCTTCCCTTGCATCTTCTGCTACTCTTTTCCTCCCAAAGAGTCATAAGAATGAGAATTCTTTTTCATGGTAGATTGTAGGAGAGTCCAGCTTTCCCCCAGTGTAAGCCTTAAAACTTACCAAGTCTCTCTCTGCCTGCTCTTTGCTTTTAAAGACACTCCTGTGGGGGCCTGCCCTATACCTAGAAGGGAGGATTCCACAGAGAAAGACCAAGAGGACTCCACACAGGCAAGCCAGTCTGAGTTTCCTGTCTCAGTCTATTAAAATTAAACCATACTGGTTTTTCTTTTTTTCCTTGTTTCTTTCTTTATTGACCAATCATACCTCTTTGCGGTGCATTCTTTGAATCCCTGAAACTAGTTGGCTCTCACTGGGTCTTTGTGTGCCCATTATTATGGGCTCTTGTGATATGTGAAAATGTTTATTAAATAAAATTGTTTGACTTCTCCATGTCACAGCACTGTAGGTACGATCCTTCTACTGAGTGAGAAGAGGACCCACAGCTTGGCGCTTGTGCATTAACGATGCCTTAGAAGAGAGAAGGGCCCCCGAATCATTAGGACAGAAGTAGGTGAAACAGGGCACAGACGCCTCGGCTGACCAGTCCTGCCAGCCCAAGACACCCCATCTGAGGAGCCTCTCTGAAAAGGCTCCAGTGTGAATGGTCCTCTCTAGAGACACTTTCTATCTTAAGTTCTTCCATATTTGCTGGGAAGTCTCCCTCTGAAATTACTTACTAGGTCTCACACATTTTCTTCCCAGGAATCTGGGAGCAGAGGATTCCTGAGGGAATCAGGCTTTGAAGTTTTAATACTATTTTCTTCCCACATCTTGTTAGCAGGATGAGAATGATAGTGTGCGCTGCAGGAGTTTGTTATCTCCTATGGGCAGATCGCCAGTAGATACTATTTGAGTTCAGAAGTAAAGAAACATTAAACCCGCTCAAGCTTTCAGCTGTCTAAGGGTAAACACTGGACAGGGCCCACACTTGCTATTGTTTCTGAAACCGCACAGGTGAGAGCACAGCTGCTAGGAGAAGTCCTCTGTTACCTTCTCCCCGACCTGCTCCTAAGCTCTTGTCTTGCCTGCAACAGTGGTGGTGGAAGGGGCTGGCATCCCTCACCAGAGATGGAAATGTTATCCTGGTCACCAGGACCTTATTTGATCTGCTGCACTGTGGTTGAAAAGGGCGTGCATACATTGTCATTTCCAGTTCCCCAGAGGGCCAACCAGGCAGTCCTTGTTCCCACCATCCACCTTGTCACTCAGTAGCAGCAAGGCCCTTATCCTCTCCTCCTCAGCCTTGTGGGCTCATCAGCGGCAGGAACTCAGAGTTCACTGGGGTTATCCAGAGGGCCAAGCCTGAGTTATGCACGGACAAAGCTGGGTCATCTATTTTTATGACCCAAGCCATGCTCTCCGCCTCTAGGGAAGACACGCCGTGGTACTTCGTTTAGTCTCGCCATACAAATGTTAATTACATGGTTATGATTTAAGCACGTTAACCCCATCTCCAGTCAATTGTCATAAAGTTTTATTAGGGAGCAAGACAGTCCTCACAGAAAGGAATGCCCCGTTGGATTCAGAGCAGTGGGCTTCCTCTCCTGCTGAGACCCTGAATGTGCTCTCACAAAGCTTGATGCATTGTCGCTGCACCCCAGGAACCTCAACCCTGGACCACCCACGGTAGAGACACCTCCCTGAGCTCCTTTTCTCGTAAAATTGCTCAAAATCTACATCACACAAGGTCCGGAAAACCAGCTGGCCAAGCCAAAACCTTTGGAAGGCGAGGGCCTGGGGGTTGCATAGAGCCCAGGACAAAGGGCAGATTCCTGTGAGCTGTGAGGAGAGAAGGGCGAAGCTCAGAACCGCAGTCCTCTGTGGTCTGCACCGATAGGTAAATCTCACAGAGGACTTCAGGCTGAGGCTGGAAAGAAGACACGGATTCCAGGAAAAGCGCTTAGGGTTGCTCTGAAATACTATTATCACTTCGAGTGTGAGGGACAGAGTGTGTAGGACAGGACGTGCGTAGAGGGCAGTAGGATCAGCCACGCACCAGGTGTACAGCAGCAAAGGTCACATCTGCCTGGCGACAGAGAGAATAAAATCAGAGTGAGGGACTTAGAACAAAGGAAAGCTTTGCAGAGATAATCTCAAGACAAGAGGGTGACGTTAGACTGAGGGGGAATATGAAACTTCCAGCCTACTAGATGTGTGGTATAAAAGCAGAATATGTTTATTGAGAGAAAGAAAGCTTCTGTCTCAGAGACAGAAGGGGTCCCAAGTGGGTTGCCAAAGACCCCACCTTTTCTAGGGATTTTATAGAGTAAAACTGCAAAGTAAGGCAGGCCAAGATGGGCTTGAGGTGGGACAGAACTATGATAACCAATAAGATTAATTACACAGGTAAAATTGACTAACTCAGAGACAAATGAGGAAAGAGTCACGTAGCCAGTGGGCATGCTTAACAGCAGTGACTCTTCCTGTGGGTGGTTGGGATGGTGACTCCTGGCTTCCTCAGGGTGATAGAGACCTAGTGAGAATATCAATTCCTGATGCTTGTCCTCAGGAAGTATGTGGGTGCATTTGTTTTATCTTTTGTCTTGAGGTCTGGCCCACAGTGGAGGTGTCATCTCCCCCTCTGGCCTTCAGCACCGGCTCCTTTGAGGTCTCAGCCCTGTCTGACTGTCTAGAGTATTTCTATCTAACTCTTGGCTGCCTGTAACAGTAGAAGCAATCAACTTCAGATTGAGAGTTTCTTGTTTCAGTGATGCACAGAGGAAGAGGAGAGGAATCTGGAGGCTCAAACTTTGAGGACAGAGTCTTAGAAGTAGTCCGCCTACTACTGGGGTCCTGCTAACCCTTTAGTCTGCATCCTCACTTCCAGATCATGTCCGTGCCTCTGCCTTGACCCCCAGCGAGTCACAGGACAAGTTTTTGTTCCACCTACCACTGCTACTTGTCTCAGAAGATAGGCACACTGTCTTCTAGATCTTAGCCCCTTCCCGTGGAGTCTTGGACCGATGGAAGCTCTCTCCAACATTCTGCCTCCTGCCTTAAGGTCGGTTGACTTCAATGGCTCTAATGGAAATGACCATTGCCACAGTGGTTATTAGTATGCGTGGGCCACAGATCTGAGCACACTTTATCTAACTGTCCACAGCCCAAGAATGAGATGCCATAATCCTCAGCCCTAGTTAACAGACAGTGACTCACTGAGCTACAGAACTAGTTTGTTGTTCTGCCTTTGTGAAAGAGTTTTCTCGTGCAATAGAGAAGCAAATGTACAAAAAGAACAGGTTTATTGAGATGAGGACGTGGGAAGGAGCACACGATCCATGGAAGCTGCACTGTCTCCTTCGAATTCGGGGATGGGACATGTGTAACCTCTGAGTGGGGGTGCTGCTTAGGGCGGGCATTGCTGACACTCGAGGAGCTGGTTGGCATTTTATTCACATGCAAACAGGTAGGGGAGTTACAATTAAGGCTGAGGAAGAAGCAGAAAGTGGTAGGTGTTACCGCTTTGGCCTTTCTCCACGTTAGACCCCTGCCATAAATGTACAGTAATTTATACTAGGACAAGAACCTTTCATTCCCATCTTTGTATTGTTAGGAAAAGGGCAAAGTCTCTCTCTTACTACTTGCTGCTGAAAGGGGGCGCCATTGGGGTTCAGGAAGGTTGACAGAATGAAGGTTGATGACCCTGTAGAAGCTGGTACCAGATGTTTCAGCCAGGACAAGGAATTAATCATTGGTGAATGTTCGCATCCTCGATTGGAGAAATAAAAACACAAGGCTATGAGGAGGCAGGCCACTGTCATAATTAAAGGGCCCAGGAGGGGTAGAAGGAAAAGTGGCCTTGATCTAAGTGGCCATGGTGAGGGAGAGTCTGAAAAATAAGCGTGGAGTTTGGGGGGTGGAATTGTGAGAGGTAATTATTTCCCCATCTGAAAGGGTAAAAGTTAATAGTGTAGGTAGGTAGGGCTCATCTTTGGCCCAGGAGTTGAGCTGGAAAGAATAAGAAGCATGAGAAATACAAGGCCTGATGACTGAATTGTGTTTGGGAAATTATAGAATAGGAGTGGGGAGGGTCGTGACTCTGTCTATATAAGTGACATGAGATCTTAGACCTACAGGAGTCTCATGTTTAACTAAACAGCTGAGGGCCGAGAGAACTAAGATAGTTACAGTGAAAAATTCACTAATAGAATGGAAGGGATCAGGAACCAAACAGGATAACAAAACATGACCTAGCCTGAAAACTGTGGCTGTGGGGCCTTGGTGAGCCAGAAAGGGGAGATGGGAGGTGAGATGACCTCTCAGAATATGTGAGTCAGGGGAGTTAGGGTTAGGAGGGCATCGCTTAGCTTGAGTGATGTGGAACCAGGATGGCACTCCAGCGACCTTGACCACTGTTGAGATTCCGAGGAAGACTGGGTAGGGGCCACTCCGTTTTAGTTGTAGTACTTGGGATGATTTCCTGTAACAGGACTTTAGTGAGTACATCAGCAGTCTCCCTGGTTGTGGGAAAGGCTTTTATTCATCCTGAAAAAGTACAAAGGTGAGAAGATATTTGAGAGTTTTGTGGAAGAGCATGTGTGTAAAATCTACCTGCCAGTGCTGACCAGGGTTGTGTCTGAGAAACTGATGAATAGGAAAGGAAGGGGGTGCTATGTGTCCCTGAGGAGAGGTTTTACTAGAGATAACAGGTGTAAGTTATTGAGACCTCAGAGTGTCTGGGTCAGTCTGCATAAACACAATGGAATAAAAAAAGACATTTTTAAGATCTATGACTGTAAAGTGAGTGGTTGAGAGAGGGATATGAGAGGGCATGGTATAAGGGTTTGGTACCACTGGGTGGGTTGGGATAACAGCACTGCTGATTACCTCAAGGTCCTGCACTAGACGATAAGACTCATCAGGCTTGAATAGTGGGAGAACAGGAGTATTATAGAGTGAATGGGTAGGTTTAAGAAAACCATTGTCTAAAAGGCACTTGATTATAGGTTTAAGTCCCTGTAAATATTTAGAAGCTATGGGATATTGAGGAACGCAAGGAAAAATTGAAGGATCTCTAGGACAAATTAAAATAGGCATGGCATGGGTACACAGGTGGGATTGGAGGTGTCTCAAACTGTGGGATCCACCAGAGAAGAAGGGAGGAGAGGGGATGGCTTTGTGGCACATCATGAGGGTGGCTGGAGGATAGAGAGCTATGGGGAGGGAGAAGGTAAAGGAGAGGTTAAGCTTTTGAAGAAGTTCTCTACCTGAAGGGGTGTGGGGCATGTTGGAATTGTTAGGAAGCTATGGGTAAAGAAGAGAGTCTGGAACCTGCATGGTATAGGCCCTGTCTGCAAAGGCTACATAGGTTGGCTGTCAACACCCACTATAGAGAGGACTTAATACAAGGGCCTGAAAACTAGGAAGAACACTATACATGGCCTCTATGTTCACGTACCTAGAATGTCTTACCTGAGACATCCAGTGGGACTTGGCACTCAGAGAAGAATACCTTAATGGAGGGCTGTGAGCCCCAAGCCCCATCAGTCTTCAGCAGCAAGTCCGAGTAGTTCAGTCAGTGATGGATGGATCTGGTGGTAATGAGATCTCCTGTGAGGGCAAGGAGTTAGAGATGACTTACTCGCTCTCTGGCAGCTAGGACAGTCACTCTTCCAGTGGCCCTTGAGATTGCAATAAGGGCAAGGCCCCAGAAGAATGCCAGGGTTCGGCTTTGCTGCACTTGAAGCATAGTCTGGGAGGAGGTCAGGCAGCTCTGTCTTGTCTCAGTTTACCTGTCTCAGAACTCCAAGTGTCACTGCTAACAGATCAGATTGCTATTTTTTCTTTTGGTTTTTATCTCTGTCATTGAAAACATGCAAAGTCATATTAAGAAGGTCTCCCTGTGTGGTTTGAGGGCTAAGCTTAGCCTTTTGTCTTGGGATCTGGCCCAAGTGGAAGATATCTGTCTCCTCCACAGTCACTTTGGGTAGGTGTACAGCGTTAAGTTTAAAGGAGACAAAGGCAAAGAATCAATTAAGTATGCAGGAGTCAAATAATAGAATCAATTTATGATTATAACTTTAGTAATGGCTTCCCATAAGGAGGATAAGGATAAGGGCCAGGGAATTTTAGAAACTGACATGTCATTCAGTTGTCATACACACATTTAGGTTTTACAATTGTGTAAGTACCTCCTGGTTGTTAGAATGTCTAATGCCATCTGAGTTTTGGAGGATGGCCTGTTTTATTAATTTTATCTTTTTATTTAGAGAGAGATCTGCTATGGTGTCATTTAACTCCAGTTGAGTGTAGTTAACTATGACCCCAATATGCATCATATAACCTTTTTTTTTTTGAAAAAAGGTGGATCCCAGCAAAAGGAATCCAAAAGGAATTTATAAATGTCTCTTAATTTAAGTTGTTGAACATCCAGAAGATTGATAACAGTACAGTGCAGTAGAGGCAGTAGGCTTAATATAGAACATTAAATGGAACTACTATTTTTTTTATTATTAAATGGAACTACTATTTTCTATTAACCAGGGTATTTTAACATTTGAGCACTGAAGAAATTTGTGATAATTGTTTGGACTGCTCACTGTTCAAGCATCTCTAAGTATAACATATATATTGCATACATTTAAAAAAATAATTAGGAAGCTATGGGTAAAGAAGAGAGTATGGAATCTGCATGGTATAGGCCCTGTCTGCAAAGGCTACATTAAGTCCCACTATAGAGAGGACTTAATACAAGGGCCTGACATTTGACTGATGATGACCTCCTGTTGATCTGACCTGAATCTCCTGGCAGGAGCACAAGAAAAAGGCAGATGCCTGGATTTGAAAGAAAATACTTGTCCTCATAAATAATCCCAATTTTACATTTGAAGGCATGAATATACCATCAGATCACAATGAATTGTCTCAGCCATATGAACTTTAGTTGGGGTGTCTCCTATAAGGCTATGAGATCATTGGGGCCTCCAATTTATGAATAAGAGCTGGTTAAAGTTACCAGGTGGCCACTTTCTTGTTTATCAGTTGAAGTCCTGTCCCATGTCTCCTCACCCCAAGGGATTTTGTTTAACCAATTCTAGCATCATTTTGACCAGCTGGCAATCTAGGTGGAAGCATGTTTTTAAAATCTATAATCCAAATAAACCTTGACTAAATGATCTGAAAATGTAAAAGAGAAGGAGAAAATCTTTGAACTCAAATAAAAAAGAACAGCTGTTTATAGAGCAGGCAAATGGACAAACAGACGCCAGATATATAGACTGACAGTCATCTTACAAGATCAGAATGCACTCAAATATTTTTGGCTAATTTGAACTACAATAAATAGACTAGTTTAAATCTTTGTATAGATTAATTAATGGAGGTATCTTGAAATAAGAATAGTGGAAAAGGAACCTAATTTATGTTTGACTGTCCTTTACGCGAGCTACAGCAAGATGGCTGCTGAGAACCACGCAGCTTGCTGGAATGCAGGAGACGGCATACTGTGGGCCGGCAGGGAAGATGGCGACCCAGGGGGGATGGGAAAGATGGCGACCCAGGGGAATGGGAAAGACGTATCATCCAAGGGGGTGGAGCAGAGCGAGCCAGAAGTGTTTGGGCCACCATAGAAGACAGAGTGAGAGAAAGACCCATCCTTAAAGTGAAAAAGGCCTAAAAATGAAGGGTTTTTGCCAACTTGCCGCCCTTGTGACAAAAGCATAAATAAAAGGTCAGCTTTTTGGTTTTTATAGCCTTCTAGAGGTCAAGAGCACGAAGGTTATGAACCAGGGACCCAGAGGTGTGTTTTTCGGGGGACAGGAAATAGTAGTTCCCATGACCTAATTAAAAGTGAGCTAAAAAACCAATTTTGCCTCAGGATATAAGAGCCCTAGCTCCACCTGAGGAACATGACAGTTGTCCCAGGTCACACTTAACACAAGAGGTCGTCACCTATTTTGAAAGCGTGACACAGAAAGTTCCAACACCCATTCTCCTCGGCCAGATCACTTTCAGGCAGGGTCCCAGGGAACAAAAATAACAGTTTTGCCTCAGGCTGTGCGGCCTAAGGAGCAAACTGGTATCCCTGTTCCAGGTGGCAGGATGGGTTTTCTGTCACAAGCTTACTAAGGAATGGAAACAGAAAACCCCGGCTGTAGCTCATCTGCCTGGAGTGAGGAAGGTGGCTGTTGCATGCGGATTAGCAGCGGCCAGTAAACAGTCCCGGAGGAAGACAAGGCAGGGGGCTCAGACTGGGAGGGATTTTTAGGAGCTAACACATTCTGCCATCTGAGTCACAAGGCACCGTTAGGAAAGAGTTTCCTGACACAATAGAGAAGCAAAAGTACAGAAAGAACAGGTTTACTGAGCTGAGGACATGGGAAGGAGCACACAGCCCATGGCAGCTGGGCTGACTCCTTAGACCAGAACATGCCGGACACGGAACACAGGTAACCTTTGAGCGGGGTAGTGTGTAGGGTGGGCACTGCTGATGTGCGAGGAGCTGGTTGGGATTTTCTTAGTGCACAAACAGGTGGGGGAGGTGCAGTTAAGGCTGAGGAGGAAGCAGGAAGTGGTAGGCTTCCCGCTTTGGCCTTGCGCCGTGTTAGACCACCGCCATAACCGTAGAGTAATTTACACTAGGGCAAGAACCCTTCACTTTCGCCCATAATAACACAACTAGAAGTCTACTGACTTTAGCTCGGGCATTCAGATTCCACAGTGCACACTCTGTACTCTGTTAGCTCGGAAGTATTGGTGGGCAAATGGCTTTTCTGTTCCTGATCTCTCCTTCAACAATCCAACTCTTGACCCTCCTACAGATCCTCACCCTCTGATGCAGCCTTCAGCCTCCGTAACAGCAAAACATCTTACTCTCACTTTTAAATGTCAAACTGCACATTAGAACCAAATAAAATGATAACAGACCCTGCTCAAACCTATCACTCAGCGCTCCCTCCTCGTGTTTAACCCTTGCTCTGCCTTGCCTTTATGTTCCTCTACACCTGGCTTCGATTTTGAGTCAGTTCTCATCAGTTCTCACATCTGCTCCTGTCTCCATTGGCCTTCTTCTTCACATGCAGTCATTCAGTCAAACCACAGACTTCGGATTGGGCCTTGGTCCAACCCTGCCAGCGTCCACATGATTGAGCAAATCAACAACCCCTAGCTGACCTCTCAGTTCCTGTTTTAGGATCCTGATCTCAAATCTGCATGGTGTCTGGGGATTGTTGTATCTTTTCCTGCACTCTGAGTCACAAGGCACTTTCTCAGTCTCTTAGGCCAGGGCTTTCAGACTTAGTCCCCAGCCTGTGGGCACCCCGAGGCCCTCTGCAGTGAGGCTTCAAGATTAAGACTGTTTTTCTGTCCATACTTTGTGTTCTCAAGTTGCTGTAGAACAGCCGACCCTGGGTGTGAAGCTGCTGCTGAGGGCCACAGGGCAGGAGACAGAGAGACAGATGAGCAGAGGACCACATAAGGCACAGTGAACTGAACTGGAGGGCTCGGGGCCTGGAGACCAGTTCAGTTCCACAGGTTGGGTGGGAACAAGGAGTGTAATGTGTTAAGACACAACCGACCTCACGGTAACTGGAATGTGCCTGGTTTGTGGTAAGTTGATGTGAAAGTCAGCGTAGCCCTGGAGCTAGTCCAGGTAGAAAGCTGCAGAGCTGTCCCGTCCACAGTGCGGTGTACTAGGCAGTGCAGTGGACGCCAGGACACAGAAGTAAGGCCAGAAAGACTGACTCACCGGGACTGGCAGGGCGGGCAAGCTCAATGCTCACTGACGGGAATGAACTTCGAGATGTGCACAGGGTCAACAGTGGCACTCGGGGGCCCGAGGGGCACAGCCCCCAGCAGCGCCACCTTTGGAGCCTGCCAGGGTTGGACGCAGCAGGTCCAAAGACGACAGACGCTCTGTTCTCCAGCATGTCACCCGTGTAGAAGGCTCGTGTCGGGAGCCCTTTCCTAGGACTGCTGGCTTCAGCTTGCGCTGCCTCGCACTGCATGAGCACAAGCAGAATCTAGAACAGCTGGTCCACTGAGCTCTGGACTGGTGAGCTCTGGTGCTTCCCAGCGTCCTGTAGATAATACTTACCTGGACAGTCCTGTCCTCTCTTCTGACACTGTCCCTTTGTCACAGGCAGCAGAGTTACAAATATTATAGGCATTCAGTCAGGGCTGAGCCTCAAAGGAGCCAGAGCATAAGTTCAGACACCTTGCAGCCTTGGAAGAGACGATCAATCACCTCCTGCTGCGGGCTGGATTGCAAGACAAAAGGCAGAGCAAATGCAATGATACCCTAAGGATCCACAGTCCAGGTAGTCCCCTATCACCCCAGGAAGCAGGAGTCAGCATCCCACCCCCTACAGGAAGCATCTCTTACTAGTGACTTGCCACCCCATTGTTTCTGATTGAATCAATTTCACCTGAGCAATTAATCTTACTGATCGGCCACAGTTCTGTCTCATACCCCCCTTGCAAATTCCCACTTTCCCCCACTGTGGATCCATCTCACCTCATGATTTGACTCTATGAAAGTCTCTAAAAAGACAGCGTCTTTGGCAACCCGCTTGGGCCCTTCAGTCTCTCAGACAGAAGCTTGCTTTCTCTCAATAAGTATATTCCACTCTTGACCTCGGTTGTTCCTAAAATTCATTCTTCAATTTTAGAGAACACAAACCCATACTGGACATACAGTTTCATTCCCTGTATCATCTTGACTTGCCAAGCATCGCAAGAAACCAAAGCAAGCATTTCAGCAACATGGTGGAAAACGCCCCCGTTTTTCTCAGGATGATACAACCTGCTGTTCTAATGGCCTTGTTTACCCACAGTTTGCTGGGAAAGTGTGCAGGAGACACAGAGCGAAGCTGAAGCGGTTATTCTGGGTCAGCCACATGGTGGAGAGGCCAGGTGGCTGCGCTCACAGCCCACAGTCTATTTAGAACCAGGATGGTTAGTTTTGCACCTTCCCTAAGGGATAAATGGAGGCTTGGGATCATGGTGTCACCTTGTTGAGACTTCCCATTAGCGCTTGGGATGGGCCACCCTCTCCACCCACTAAGACAACACTGAAACTACCAGGATGAATAAGAAGACTCCAGAGCAAGATCCTTCTTAGCATAAGATCGTCTCTGCCCTCTTGAGTCACCCCAGGATCATCCGCTGCCTGCTGAGTTGTCGCTGGCCCCTCCCGCCACTGCACACACCCACTGCATTGTCCGCACCCAGTAAGCAGGGTTTGGTTTGGAGTCCCTGGGTCTTTGCTGGCCCTGAGGCGCTGACCTCCCAGCCCCCATCATGCACTGCCAATTTTGTCTCTGCTGCTTATTTCTTCCTTTTGCTGTACTCCTCACACAGGCAGTTGGGGATCTTGGCCAGGTCCCCAATACTTGACTACAGCAGAGTACAAAATGTTTCCTGATGTCTTCAGTTTCCTTTCGTGACCAGCCTTTAAGAGACTGCTTGGTGAAGACTGTCCACACCTGTCTAAAAGTGCTTCCTTCCTGGGCGGCTGTGGCGGCTAGCTCTCCCCGCCACCCCCACACTCACCTTTGCAGCCCTGGCCCTGGCCTACGCTGAGGATGTGCCTGGTCCTCTCCTCCCTCACCATGGCTGTCTGCGTCAAAGAGTTCCCTTCGCAATGTGCAACTCTTTCTTGGTATGTGCTACACTCTTTTTTTTTTTTTTTTAATTTAAAGAGAAAAAAGAAAGGAAATAAAAAAACAAAGCAGTAAAAGGTTACAAGTAATACAGAATTTCAAGAAAAAAATATACAGTAAGAAATCACTAGTCAATAGGTTACATATTGTCATCTGAGAAACTGTTGTCCAAATAATAAAATTAAAGCATTTAAAGTGGACATTCATACAGTGAGATTGCAGACAGTTCCTTTCAATGATCCAACAAAACCTCAGTAATATGGTTTTCCATCCTACACACTCAAACATACATGCAGTTATATCCCTTAGACCACCTTCCTTTCCTCTCTTTTTTACAATAACAATTACACTTTTTGGGTTTTTTTACTCCCACAGTTCTTATTACTTTTTTTTTGAAGAGAATAAAATCAAACGTGACTAAACAAAACAGAGTTGGTTAGAACAGAAGGATGTGCATAGTACATGATGCAAAAATAGAATACCAGGTGATCAAAAGTGCTTACCATTGTGCCTCTTGCTATTTTTAAACTGAGTTGCCTATATCATCAGTTATAATAGAATTGATCAAAACAGTACAGAACAAGACCAATAAAACCTACACTGGAGACCTTATAGGACTTCAAAAGAAGATAATAGTCAAACCATAATGGGCATCATAGTAAATATTATTGCCTTCAAAGTGGTTTCCTATACCCTCAAACTTGATACTATCAAATAAAATATAGTAAAATCAGACAGAACAAGATGGGGGGAGCAATACTGGGGTTCAAATCAGGTTAATAGGAAAACAAAAAAGTAACTATAATATATACCGCTATTTTTTAATTTAGTTTTCCCTTAATTGAAAAAAAATAAGAAAAAATAGATTAACTAAAAATAAAAAGGGGGGAGATTGAGATAAAAGAGGACATTGTAACCGAACAACACAGGTCAGAACCGAACAATGTAAGCATCACTGTGTTTCACCACCAGATAATCTAACATAATAGTAGTCACCATAGTGCCTCTTTCCTTGAATTATTTGAGTATAACTTCGTATACTATAGCATCAAGCATATCAAGACAGTGTGAAGCCATTCAAGAGAATGAAAGAATTACAGGGTATTTAGAATCAGCTAACAGAAAACTAACAATGGTTTCTATATTATCTCCTTGCCTATAAAAATTTTGTTTATACTATCGCATATAGTAAATATAGTAAGATACAACATGTTAAAACCAGTGGAAACAGATGTACAACAGGTTGATGGGACTTCAAAACAAGATGATATTAAATCAGCACTGGCTTTTATGATGTGTTTTCTTCAAAATAGCTATTCATACTATCACCTATACTAAAACTGAACAACCCAAGTTAAAACCATTGCAATTAATGAGTGAAAACATTATATGGCTTCAAACCAATATGATTGGGAATCATGATTACCATATACTTTTATGTATTCTTATCATTTCTTACACTAGGGAAACTATTTGGTATTTCTACATGTGAGTTTGATTTATTTCACTTATGAGTATGGTCTCAAGCTGCATCTATTTATTTATAAATATCTCAATGTGATCATTCTTTATAGCTGAGTAGTACTCCATTGTACAAAAATATCACAACTTTTTTATTCATTCCTCAGTGGATGGACATTTAGGTTGTTTCCAAGATCTGGCTATACAAATTGTGCTGCTATAAACATGGGTGCACATATATCACTGTGGTATGATGTTTTCAGTTCTTCTGGGAATATGCCTAGAAGTGGTATAGCTGGGTCTTATGGGGCTTCCAGTCCTAATTTTCTGAGAAATCTCCAGACTGACCTCCACAATGGTTGCACCAGTCTATACTCCCTCCAACAGTGTAGGAGAGTTCCTTTTTCCCTACAGCCTCTCCAGCATGTGTTGTTGTTGGTTTTCTTGATATTGGCCATTCTTTCAGGAGTAAGATGAAATCTCCATGTGGTTTTGATTGGCATTTCTCTAATGACCAATGATGATGAGCATTTTTTCATATATTTATTTGCCATTTGTATTTCTTCATCTGAGAATTGTTTATTCATCTCAGATGCTCATTTTTGGATTGGGTCTTTGAATTTTGGGGGTCTGATTTTTTAAAATTCTTTATGTTTTAGACCGAAGTCCTTTGTCTGAGGGGCAGCTCACTAAGATTTTTTTCCCAGTTTGTGGGTTTTCTTTTCACTATGCAAAAGATTTCTTTTGACATGCACAAACTTTTTAATAAGAGGTAATCCCAATTATTGACTCTGGGAAGTATTTCCCGCGCGGTTTGAGTCCTGTTCATGAATTCTCTACCTACTCCTATGTCTTCAAGGTTTTTACTCAATTTGTCTTCCAATAGATTTAGCGTTTCTATTTTAGTATTTAGATCTTTGATCCATTTAGATTTTATTTTAGTACATGGTGATAGGCATGGATCTAGTTTTAGTTTTTGGCATATGGAGAGCCAGTTTTTCCAACACCATTTATTAAAGAGACTGTCGTTCTTCCAGTGAACATGTTTGGCCCCTTTATCAAAGATAAGGTGGTTGAGTGTGTTTGTAGTTGTGATTGTATCTTCTAATCTATTCCACTGATCTTCGGCTCTGTTTTGGTTCCAGTACCGTGTTGATTTTACTACAGTTGCTTTGTAGTATAACTTCAAGTCAGGGATAGTATTACCTCCTGCCTTGACTTTGCTGCTTAGAACTGTCCTTGCTATTCTAGGTCTCTTCTCGCTCCAGATGAATTTTAGGAGTGATTTCTCGAGTTCTATGAGGTATGTTGATGGTATTTTTATCGGGATTGCATTGAATCTGTATAAAGGATTTGGGAGAATAGCCATTTTCACAATATTTATTCTTCCTATCCATGAGCAAGGGATTTCTTTCCATTTTCTGAGATCATCTTCAATTTCATTTTTCAGTATTATAATTTTCCCTGTATAGGTCTTTCACTTCTTTCGTGAGAGTAATTCCTAAATATTTCATTTTTTTGGTTGCTAGTGTGAAAGGTGTGGCTTCTCTTATTTCTTTCTCTGTGACTTAGTTGTTAGTGTATAGGAATGCTATTGATTTTTGAGTATTGATTTTGTATCCAGCTACATTACTGAATTTATTTATTATATCGAGGAGTCTTTCAATGGAGTTTTGGCGATCTTCTATATAGAGTATTATGTCATCTGCAGATAATGATAATTTAACTTCCTCTTTTCCTATCTTTACGCCTTTTATTTCTCTCTCTTGTCTAATTGCTCTGGCTAGTATTTCCAGTACTATATTAAATAGGAGTGATGATAAGGGACATCCTTGCTTGGGCTTGACTTTAAAGTAAAGGCCTTCAATTTTTGGCCATTTAGTATGATATTGGCTGTTGGTTTGTCATAGACGGCCTTTATTATATTGATGTAAAGACCATCTATTCCAATTTTCTGCAAGGTTCTTATCATAAATGAGTGTTGGACTTTATCAAAAGCTTTTTCTGCATCTATAGAAATAACCATGTGATTCTTACTTTTGGCTCTATTGTTATGGTGTATTACATTTATTGATTTACGTATATTGAACCATCCCTGCATGCCTGGGATAAATCCCACTTGGTCATGGTGTATG